AGGGCCTGCCAGATGCCAGCACCCAGAGCCTTCCCAGGGGAATGCTCCCTGCCCTGGCGGAGGAGCTCACCTCCTCCTGACTCCTGACACCACTGAGCTTCCCAGGAGTTGTTACGACACTAACCTACACTCCCAGCTATGGAGAGTACTAGACCCTGGTGAGCTCATGGGGCGAGTCTACCCTGGCAGTGAAGTGACATTTCTGTTAAGAATTAAAAGAAAGGAGAGAATGGGCAGGCAGAGGTTGGGATGGGGCGTGCTGCAGGCAGGGAGCACAGCTATGGGAAGAAGCCCTGAGACTGGATGGTTGACCAGGGCAGCCAAGGGAGCAAGACGGGAGGTCGGGACAGGCAGGCTGGAGCATGCAAGGCCAGCCAAAGGCACTCTGCTCAGACTGACTCCAGGGGCGACAGTGAAGGAGAAGGAAACAGATCTGCATGCTTACGGATCCCTGTCAGCCTCGTGGAGGAAGCCCCGGGAGGCGGGGGGCACAGACAGCCTCATCTTATCACACTACATCACGCTGACCGAGGTGGCTTGGGCAGAGTGGTAGCAGTGGAGTTGAAGAGAAGAGGACAGAAAGACCACTTACAGAGGCAGCTCAAAGGCCTGGTCATGGCCGGATATGAGAGGCAAGGGGGTGTCAGGCCTGAGCCAGGGAGTGACACAATGCCAGCTCTGGGATGGGGCCTACTGGAGAGGAGTAAGGGTTTAATTTTGGATGTACTGAGTTCTGAGGTATTTGAGATCTGGGCTGGAAGGAGCCCCGGGGAGCCAGGCAGCCCTGGCACTGATGCATCTAGGATGCTGACAGCGTGGTGAGGGGAGGAGGACTGGGAGTGGGCTGGGAGCAATGCCAGTGCTTTGAGGCCCTGTAGAGAAGCTGCAGCTGGCTGAGGGGGTAGAGCAGGAGCCTCAGAGGGTGGCTTGCAGCAGCTCGGCATCGTGCCAAGGGCCACAGACACCTCTCTGGTGCTGCAGGAGGAGCAGGCCAGCTGAGAACAGAGCCATCCTCTACACCCGGCAGCATCAGGGACACAGCGACCTCAGCGAGGGAGCCACAGTGGCTGGGGTGGCTGCATCATGCACATGAGGGCAGTGTGGAGAGCACAGGCTGGCTAGGGAGGTGCCTTTGGTCCCCTCTTCATGGCTCTGCTCCACTGCACACTGCACCCGGCATGTGGAAGAGCCTGA